TGGAATAACCACATATTTTCAAATCTAAAGGGGGTAGGACCTCCACGCCTTCTTTCCTCCTTACATAACACTATGGGCCARTGATCGGAGGTCACCCTTGGAAGAGCTCTAGAAGCCAAGGTTCCCCGCTGGTCTTCCTAATCTAGAGAGAACAGGAACCTATCCAGTTTAGAGCAAATGGGTCTAGATTGGAGATTTGACCAAGTAAATGTCTTATGGGCTAAGGGGATCTCTTTAAGCTCAAAGTCATCCACAAAGTTGTTAAACTTCCTCATGCTTTTTGTCACCCTCAGGTTAACCTTATTGGATTCCTCCGAGAATCTAATTACATTGAAGTCCCCACCCAAGCACCAGGGCCCATTCCACAACCCTCTAACATCAGCCAATTCCTCCCACAACTCCTTTCTCTTTCTATAGTCATTCGGTCCGTAAACATTTGTGAGAACCCACGTAAAATCACCTTCATGCTGCTTAAACTTCACAGAAACCGAGTACTTTCTGATCAACTCCTCCAAGCCTTCAACCACATCCCTCTTCCACATTGCTACAATCCCCCCGGACGCACCCCAAGAGGGAGCAGCCACCCAGCTGATCCCCCTGGCTTTCCAAACACTCCGTGCCCAAATGTTATTAAACTCCATTCTCTTAGACTCTTGCAACAGCACAATGTCTGGGTCAAACCGTTTTATTACCTCTTTTATTGTCACTCTCTTCCTTGCACTCCCAATTCCCCTCACATTCCAACTAAGAATCTTCATTCCACTTCTTTTTTAAACCCCTTGCCACCTTCCACTACTTTCCCCCTTTCCTCCTATCTCCTTTTACCCCAAGCTTCTTGTCTCCTTCTACATCTCTCTTTAATCTCTCTACTTCACTCAATCTCCTCTTCTTTGTTTTGATCTCCTTCTCTCTCTTCTGTAATCTTTCTTTCAACACATTCAAATCTTCCAACCTACCGCCCAACTTCTCTACAAATTCTGCTATCATGTCTTCTCTCACCGAGTCCTACACCCCTACCTTCCTACAAAAACCCCTCCAACTTTGCCCATCTGCCCGTTCTTCCTCTCCCCTGATCTTACCTCTGATCTTTCCTCTCCATCCATCCTCCCTCTCCTGATATCTCCCTCCTTCCCTGTTCCTTTCCCTCCATCTCTACCCTCAATCCTTTCCCTCCTCTCCACTAACCCCTCCCCTCTTCCTTCCTCCCCTTCCCTCCTCCAAATCAACTTTCCTTCCACTTCCTTAAACACTCTTTCAATGATTTCCCACACTTTCACTCCTAAACCTTCCTTCCCGCACCTTTCACTTTCCTTCCTTCCCCTCTCCCCCTCCTCGGAGAGCCCGCCTTCTAGCACGGCTGCATATTCATGGGCTACAGGACATGGAACAGGAACGGAATCTGGAACCAAAGACATAGGAGACACATTAGTAGCACAAACCGAATTCACTTGGTTACCTGGGATTGATGGACAAGCTAGAAAAAGACTGCTCCCGGCCTCCCTCTCTTGTTCCAGAGGTTGGTAAACATCTGTCTCCCTTAGTTGGTTGGGAAATACTTTTGTCCTTTGGTCAACCTGGTGATCTTTCCACTCTACCCCTGGTTCACCCCTAGATGGTGTGTTCCTGCTCTGCTTCCTGTTCTCCCGGTTTACCCCTTCTGATAATCCTTGCACACTCTGTAACCTTGGGAATGAGTTGACCTGATTGCAATCTACACCCTGAAATAAGCTTGCAATATTCCACCCATCCAAGTCACCTCCATCACAACTACCTTCGTCGTTTACACTGCCCACGCTAGTACCATCAGCAGAAGGGTCCTCCGCTTCTTCATCTCCTTCACTGCACTGTGCCCAGCCTTCATCCTTCTCTTCCCTCTCATCAGTTCTTTCCCTAGTGAATCTTAGATTCGGCCTTTCTGAGGAGCGTCGCAGTGGGCTATGCTCCTCCAAACTTCGCCGGGAAACCCACTGCAACTCCGGTTTTTTCTCCAACTTCCGCCACTGCGCACAAGCCCCCCCCCCTTTCTCGCGACTTCGAACGATGATAGACCATTAACATTGTCTATCAGCGCCCCAAGAGAAACCCCTTTGCCCCAAACCACGTGATATTTTAAGTTATCACGTGGGTCCTTCAAAAGGATCCCCCTTTCGGTGTTACAGCCACCCGACCCGCCCGTGTGACCTTTTAAGTTGTCACGTGGGCCCTTCCAATACTGTCCCAGCTCAACCTTCACCCCGCCCGACCCACCCGCCACCTTCAACGGCTCGGACCAGACCTTTCGGCTCCCCAACCCATCCTGCCTTTTCGCCACGTCAGCAAAGGAAGAGTAGCCCGCCATTAAGTTGTTTGATTCAAACCTATTTGAAATATTTTCCTTAAAAAGGTTTCTTATCGTTTGGTTTTCCCCAATCGGCTCAGTAACCCCAAAAAAACCTTTCATCTGCTCCACCTTTTCAACTCCCAACCTATGCCCTCCAAGTGTCCACCACCCAGCCAGCTCATCATCTTCTACCTTAGGAACATCTCCCCACCACGACCGTTCAACCTCAGAGGCCACCCACACCTTGTACCAGGCTTCATCCGAGCAGATTTCAATGACCCTCGGTAGGTTCTCGTGCCTTACACCAGCAACCTATAACTCCACGGCACCCAGATTTCGTTTATCAGCTTTCACCAAGATGCCTCCTAGACATTGCACAATGTGCTCAAGAACAGAGTTCCGCCAAAAGTGAAATGGAAGGCCTACAAGCTTCAGCCGGACACACCCATCTTGGACATCAACTTCATTGCATATTGGACTCCAGTTCTGAACCTGTATCAGAACTCCATCCACCACTACTGCTTTAAAACTTAGCTCCTGGTCGCATACATCAAGCACGGCTTTCGTCTCTGCAAAAGGAAACAACATAGCTTCACTCCCAAATCCTATCTCCCCTGCCACTGTACACAAAACCCTTCTCCAATCTATCACTCCTCTATCAGCCACTAGCACCCTTCCTTTCTTCCATTCATCCTTCCCTGCTCCTACCGATAACCTTCGAAGACTAGAAGCGCAAACAACCACCACTTCAGTCGGAATGCCTTGCACTTCTATGCTCCCAGAGGAACTAATCGAAACTGCCCCCTCCTGAGCTTTTTTACCCTGGTCTTTGGATTTTTGACCAGTTCTCTTCACCCCCTCTGCTCTCTTCACTTCCAAGGCTACAAGAAAAGACTGTAGCACCTTCACAAAGTCCATCCACCCTTTCCGTAGCCTTCCTTCCGGCACACAAAGCAATTGCTTTCCATTTGTTCCAAAAAACTCCACCACAGAGATAAGCCATCCCTTTTTGTTTCTTTTCAATTTTGTTACATAAATCTTACCTGGAACTGCCATTGAGTTTGTCCAGCCGATCACCTTACCAAAGTTGATAGCCCCATCTATGAAACCTTTCATCAAGATGATGACCTCCTTGGACACCAACACAGTCGCCCTGTTATTCTCTCTGATTTTCATTACGTCCTCACCTTTGATCCTTTCCTCTTCGAACTTGAAACTCTTGGCTTCGATCGACACCTCAGACCTCCACCTTCCAACTACTCTGAACCTTCCCTCGTCCTCCATACCTCTTTTCTTTTAATGGAATAAATTTTCAGTTCCCATTACTCAGGTGGAGACATGAGTGTGGGCATCAGAGGAAAAATTTTGCAAGCCCAAACACAGACATCATTAGGAACACCCCGTGAAATCTTCGAATTTGAAAAACCATCTATGAGTCATATCTCATGTGGATTTCATACCCTTTATCTTGATGTAGGTACCTTGAGTGGTTGTTCCATTTGTTTGCCCTTATGTTACATTTTTGAGTCTGTGTCATTCTTCACAAGTCCTAATATGTCTCTCTCCCACAGAGGTTCCTCTTCCTCTTCCCCTTCCAGTTGATAATTCCATTCTTGTTGTTCCCGCAGTGTTTTGAGTCTCCACCTCCTCCAGTGCAAGAGCATACTGAAAGACCACCAATCCATCCACCTATTAGACAGTGTGTATGGGGAAGTTTATCCTACCAAGGCTGACACTGATGTGCTACTAAGAAGGTTGGAGTAGCCTGTCTCAGCTGCTAGGGTTAGACCCAAAGCACATAAAGTGTGTATTCGAAACATTGAACCCAGACCAATTTCCAGTTAGCCCTAGACCTTGGAGACTGGTGGGCAAAACTGGAAAGTTAAACAACCCCTATACTCAATTATGGTACTGCACTGGGTGTCAGAAACATCCCTAAAACTTGTGCACATCACAAGTAAAGGAAAACGGTCATCAATTAAAACTTGTGCACAGAAACATCCCTAAAATTTTCTACCAGCTCACTAGTGTATCATACCTTACAACCATACTGGTATGTGAGCCATGTAATCATACATGCAGTGGGGTTGTCTATAAAATCTTCGCCATTTTACATTGCATATATTTGTGAATAACTTAGAAGTAAATATCAGAGTAAATAACTTAAACCATATTATGTGCCTATAACTTGGACTTTATTCGCAAACAGACAATATTAGTCAGCCATCTCCATTTTGATGTACTCCTTACATAGTTGATAACATTAGTACACAAGTAGTGTAGCCTCAGGATCAGATCTCTGCGTCTCAATCATTTATTTTTTTCCTTATTGGCATAGAACCCATGTTACCCATGTATCACTCAACTTACAAACTCTAAACCACGACTGATATAAAATATCATCCAATTCCTTATCTGATGGAAAGGAAAAACAATGATAAAGTGACAATCACATTTTTATACCACTAAGAAACCAAATGAAAATGTGTATTAAATAATGGACTTGAGGCTTACTCAAAGCAAAGAAGTAGCCACCACTCTCTGACATTGGTGTAATTGTCATCGTCTTCCTGACTTGACCTTCATTGCTGTGATATTTAATGCTTGTCAGTGCATAACTAAAATATGAAAAGGACAGTAAGCTAGATAATTTATCTTGTATCAGAATAAACAAAATATGGTGTTCATTGCTACACTAGCATAAGGGCTATCTCTGTGAAGTCTAACAGCACAAATATTTCTATGAGGGAAATGCATGAGATACTCAACCTTTTTTTCATTGAAGGATCATGAAAGAATTCACAGGAGTCTTTTGCACCTAGGCTTATCAAAGACCCAACCTCCGTTGCAGACAAAGCAAACATCTAGATAATTCAAAAGATCAATCAGACAGTCAAGTACACAACGAATCCTTCAATGTGTTCATCTGAATTACTTCAACCATATAAACCCGGCCATGCTTTAAGAAAATAGCCTATTGACATTTTATGCAATAAGAACACAATCAACAAGACATGGGATGCAAATGCATTGTGTAACTAGAATGTTTTAGATGTATGTGCAACAGATAGGATGAGGATATACCTGCTTCTTTTCATAATCATATTTTCGTGGGCCTATAGCAGGGCAAAACTCCAACAATATGACACCCATCCGCTCAATTTTAAGAGCCCCAGACTGAGCAACATAAAGAAATTAGTTACTGATAGCATCATTGTCCCATTTTTACCCAATACAATGAGGAAGCTTTTTCCAATGTGGTACAACAGAAAAATTGTAGTGAATATAAAACAAAGAAATGCAAACCTACCACCATTTTGCTAAACTCAGGGAGCCTAGGCGTCATAGAAAGAGAAGCTTTGCCCTTGTAAAAGGTAAAGCTTGCAAATACTCTTCTTGAGTAACTTCCTGACAATTCATAAAAAGAAGCCTAGAATCAAATGATACGAGCAAAAGAATTTAAAAAAAAAATGCAACAATAAATGATTAACTGAAAACAACCATCGGCAGCAACATCTTTTCCAGCAGTTGAAATGCCAGCTCGAGATATAGAACCATGCAACCATAAAGCATCTTTAGTATTACCCACTTTCCCAAAGAATAGTCTCTCCGACAAAGTAGTCCTGCAAAAAAAACAAAAAAAAAAAAAAAAACTGACACTAAATACTTGGAATTAAAGGGGAAAAAGATGATCATTGAACAATTCAAGCAAACTAGTGCAAGAGCTGCCGGTTTTGTTTGTCCAAACTTTTTTTGGGAATCCAAAAGCATATCTATCCATTTTTCCTTCACACTACAATTCTATCAAAATACCAACAGCCTGCAGTTATGAATCCACTATTCCTACATCAGTGTTTTAAAAGTGCAAAACGCAAAAAAAAAAATTAAAAAAAATCAAAAAAATGCATAAATATGCAAACAAATTTAAAAGTTGTAAAGATTCAGAAAAAATATAAAAAAATAATATTAATTAAAAAATGTATACTTAAATTTAAATTAAATGTTTTAAAAAGACTATTTGCTCAAATTAAAATATTTAAACGTAACATATAAGACATACATACATAAATTTTTTTATCAGTAACTCAGAAGGAAATTCATTAAAATTACGAGAAATAAAACAACAAGAAGTGGAATAGACAAATAGACTCGACAAAGTCTAAATCCCCCCACAGACTTACAAATGAGCCCAAAACATAGATTGTCTCTAAACCCCTTGCTTAGCTAGACCATCCACCAAGCTGTTTGCAGACCTTCTAACCCAAATAACTTGATTGAGCATGTCCTTTGAGAGCCAATTGAACCGTCTAAGATCATTCCTTAGATGCCAAGACATTCCTTCCCCCTTCTTTAACCAGACCACAACTATTTTGGAATCACCTTCAATAGTTAATCTCTCAAAACCCAATTCTTTGGTTTTCTCAATCCCAAAAGCTGTTGCCAAAACTTGTTTTGTGACAACATCACCTTACTCAATTGGACCTGAGAAAAAGGCACGTATGTTTCCTTCCTTGTCCCTAATTACGCCCCCAATTCCAGATAGGCCCGGATTTCCCACACAACACCCATCGAAGTTCAGCTTCATCCAGCCAATAGAAGGAGGAGACCATTACACTTTTATCAGCTGTCTTCTAGAGGATGAATCAGCAATAACTCCCCAAGATCTAAAGAAATCATCAAACTTAAAGTCGGAGAAGAGTTTCAATGTCTTGACCCATTGAGCCACTCTTAGAGTTATGACCTCTATTAAGGCTTCCTTACACCTCTCCTTGTCCTAGAAGGTTCTTGAGTTTCTTTCTTCCCAGACAGTCCAAACTACTGCAGCCCTAGTACATTTCCACATCAATCTGCCCCTCCTTTTTGTACAACTGCAAACAGAAGGTCTAAACAACCCTTCCAAGCTATTAGGAGGAAGCCACCTACAGTCAAAAAGAGAGGCAAACCAATCCCAGATAAGGCTGACAATGGGCAGGATATTAAGAGATGAAACGCAGTCTCACCATTTAACTTGCATAAGCAGCACTAGTTAGGGGATAAACACCAGTTTGGCCTCTTCCTTTGAAGTAAATCACAAGTGTTAATACAACCATGAAACACTTCCCAACAGAAAGCACCAACTCTAGGAGGAATGGGAGCACACCAAATTTCCTTAACAGGGAAGGAAGGAAAAGGGGGAAGGTGAGGAGGCAACAAGAGAGATAAACAAAAACTTACTTACAAGTGAAAAGAACGGTTGGATTATAAGGGTCCACACCTGTTAGTGGAAATTTTTTTTTAGTATAATTTACCACATAACATAATTCACCCAACTAGACTAATAACTGGGTTTTCTTGTTATTTGGGTAAGCCTCATTCAAGAAATCACATACATATTCCCTTAATTGCATCTCTGCTAAGGGCAGAGAAAACCTTTTGATTCTGATTCAGAAGTACAAATGAATAGACTAAACTAAGTATCATTTTTCTACAGAATTTTCCTCTAAAAATTCTGGTATATATTCCACCTTTGTTTGAGAGAAAACCAGCAAAATAAACAAACTTCTTATACATAACAAGTAAATAGGTATCATAAATAGTCATATTTCATCAATAAGGCTGCAAATGGCCTTTAAATTGTGGTTATGTGCATTATCATACTGTGAGGAACCATAATCAACCAAGTTTCATGAACAAAGTTGTAGAGGGTTGTTTTCCTCACATAAAGTAATGATTTTCAAGGTCAAAATGAAGTAAGGAACCATAATTAGCCAAGTTTCATAGACAAGGCTATAGATGGTTATCTCCTTACATGTATTTCAATATGAAACAAGGAATAAAAGAAAAATAAAAGGAAGAAATAAAGGAGTGAGAAGAATAGATAGAATATGGTCTTCCATCTCATGTGGGAAGCACAAGGAACATCATATTGAAGGGGTGTAGGAAGAAAACAAGATTCCCTACCTTCTTCCTTTTTTTATGCTCTCCACACCAATCTTCTTCTCTTTTCTCTTCCCACTTGTTTCTTAGTGCTAGAAATCCTGCAGATAAATTAATATTAGCCAACAAAAAAGCATTAGCCCCTTCTCCTTGTAGGACAAGGGTTTATATAGAGGAGGGAGGTGGTTAAGTAACTCCACACTCCTCTCTTCTTAAGGTGCCAAGTGTCACCCCACTTAAAATGGGTTAAGAAGGGAAAAGAAAACTCTTCCTTCCTAAGGTGACAAGTGTCCCCTCACTTAAAGTGGGTTAAGGAGGGAAAAGAAAACTCTCTCCCCTAGGGTGGCATGTGTCTCCCCACTTCAAGTGGTTAAAGGAGGGAAAATTGCCCTCTTGTTAGAATAAGACAAGTGACATCCCCTTATAAATAAGTGGGACACCTCACAAGAAATTAATTAATATAGATTTATTCTTTTAGGGTCTGTTGTTCCATTAAATGGGCTCTACTGCAGGCCCATTAAATGCTTATTGCATTACAAACAAGCCCAATTAACTTGGGGCTTGTTGTTCACTAAACTAGACTGCAGGCCCCTTTCTTTACTAAAATGTTTCAGTCCACCAATAGGACAGACTGGGCTTATAAGAAAGCCCTTTTTTTTCTTCTTTATTGTTATTTTTTAAGTTGTGTCTGGGAGTATCCTAATAACCTACTCCCAGCCCAACAAGCTTAAGGACTTAACAACACCCTGCTATCCAAACCATCTTCCCCTAGGACCACAAAATTCAGCAAGGTAAGCAAAGCAGACACCATGGGAACCTCAGACTCTCTAAGATTCCTAGTGAAGCCCAAATTCCAGTTCAACCCAAAAAGAGAAGGGGATCTAAGAAACTTAGACAAAGGTCTACCTTTGAGATTGGAAAGAGTATAAAGGGACGGAAAAATCTCCATTAGGGGTGGCATGCCAATCCAAATATCTTCCCAAACATACGTACAATACATGCCATGCCAACATGACTCTCCTTCCTCCCCTACCATTTATCTATTTTTGTTTTTTTTATTTTTTATTTTTGAAATTACACCAAATTACTTAAGAAACTAATCAATTTTAAGTCTTTAAAACTTTCACATCTCCTCATTAACTCTCTCTTCTCTTTCATTAACTCCTTTGATTATTTCTCCTCATTAATCATTCCATTAACTCTCTCTTAATAACTCACTCCACCAATCCTCTCTCCTCTCAACTACTCCAATAAATTGCTTAAAATTTATTTACTCTTTTTCTTTTTTTATTTTTCTTTTTCTTTTTTCTTTTTTTCTTTTTCATTTTATTCCCTCCTCTCCTCATTAATCTAATAAACTAAAAGCAATTTTCTTAGGGGTAATCATTTCAGTCCAATCTGGGCCCGGGTCTCCATCAGGCCCACAAATTTCAAGGCTGGCATAGGCCCAACCCAACATGTAAATAAATAACAGTATAAAATTAGCTAATAAAAATATCATAAATAGTTAAATCACCTAAAAATAATGAGAGAGAGAGAATTCTAAGACATAGGTCCCGCCCCTTCCATCATTAACCTATTTTAGCATATTTCTATAGGCCTTTTCCATTATTAATTTATTAGCTTAAAAGTTGGTTGAGTAAGGAGGCTTATGAGATTCAGTGCTACAGAAATGAGATTAATTAATTCAAATGGCTATCTAGGAACATGCGGTTAACAATACACTAGGTACAAGGATTAGAAAATTCTTTGGCTGATGCTTTAGCCAAGCAAGGGGTACAACATGGACAACTATTTCGGGCCCAATTGTAAAGCTAAAATGGGTAGGGGTGATTAACATATAGTTTTGAGGATTGAATTTTTGTAATGTAGGAAGACAAAGGAGCTGTTTTTGTGCATGTTTGTGGGATGGTTAGCCAAGGCTAACTACCTTAATTTGGAATCTTAACTTACGGATGTATTACTATCAATATTATATTAATAAATTACTTTTGTTACCCACCGAAAAGAAAAAGATGAAAGAAAAGTAACTCAAGAAACAAAACCAAAGAATTTAACAATGAAGAACAAATGAAGGCATTCTACTATTAAGAAAACAGAAAGATAAATAGCATTGCTAAATCCTTAAATTTGCTGGACTGGGAACAGATTATTAAAGTACTCCCAATCACAACTTTAAAAAAAAAAAAAAGGCCTTTTCTTTCCAAGCTGATCTTCTAATCCCAGTCCTATGAGTGGGCTGAAGTAATTTATTTAAAAAAACAAGGGGTCTGCAGTCCATAATTACTTTAAAAGATATTTGGGCTGTAAATCTATAATAATGATTCATTAAGCATTTAATAGACCTGTAGTAGTGCTCATTTAATGAGACAGTAGGCCCTAAAAGAATTACATTTATATTGATTAATAAAACATACTTAATCTTATGAGGTGTTCCATTTATTTATAAGGGAATGCCACTTATCCTATCATAAAGAGGATTCTTTCCCTCTTTTAGTTTAGTCACTTTAAGTGGGTGATACATTGCACCCTAAGAAGAGAGTCCTTTTCCCTCTAGCAAAGTGGGGTGATACATGCCAACCTAAGAAAAGAGACTTATTTTCCTTCCTTCCTGCAACCATTTTAAGTGCAGAGACACGTGATAACTCTGCATTTTGATGCCTTAAGGGCAACAATTCAGGGGTATTTTCGGCTTTAGAATAGTCAA